AGTTTTTTTTTGATTTATAACGTTGATTAAATAGAAATATTTTGTCGTATTTATTGAAAAATAATCTAAATAAACAAATATTGGATTTTTAAAAAATGTTCTTCTACCAAACACAATCCAATAGATGACTTATTTTTACCAAAAAAAAACATTCATATATCAATGGATGATGTATGAAAGTATTCAACATGACCTTTACATTATTTTCTCCTTTTTTTTCAACGATCTTCGCTGTAAACTTTATAGATTTTCCAGCTTTTACATACAGAAAAAAAACTAATACACTTTCTAACAGCTAACTCTCAATAGTAATGTTATTTTATTTTATTTTTATTGTCATAAGATAATCTCTAGAGATTATGATTAGTTTTCGAAATAATATTCAACTCGAAAAGTATGTCAACTAGTACTCATTTAGAATAACAACGTTTTGCCTGTTACTGACGCATGATTGTCATGTAGTTAGAATAAAATATATATTGCTCTATAATTATATGTCATTTTAAAAAGATTTTAAACTAATATATTGTTCATTAAATTCTTCAACAAAAATTTGTTTTTGTCGTTCTTTTTTTTTGAAGGCTTGAGATGTACGAATAATTAATGCAAATTTTAATCAAACAATTGCTACTCATATGTTTTGTCAGGTATATATGATAAAATTGAACAAAAAAAAAATTTCTTATTTATTTTCAAAGGATAGTCAGCTCATGAACAAGTGTTATGGTTCTCGTTATCAATGGATTATTCTTGGTTATCCATCATTATCAACTTGGTGGAATGAACCAACTGATTGTTCAATGCAATAAATAATTCGTGTAATTAATGGTACATTACAAACACGTCTACCACCTTTATCTATTGATGATAATGAAGTATTTTTAAACAAAATCTATTGAGAAAAACAAAACAAAACAAAAGAATTTTTTTTTTGTTTTTGAATTATTTTTTCGAATCAATCAGAATATTTTACGGAATATATAAAAGAATTTTCTAAATTAGAAAAAGATTATTTTGATGGTTATGTATATGATACAATATGGAGTTTAGCATATCTTTATCAATCACATTTATTAAGTAATCAATCGATTCAAGGAATATTTAACAAATGTTATTGAAAATATTGATTTTATTTATGCTACTCTAAGTGAATTAGATAAGGAAAAAAACAAAAACAAAGAATATTTATCAATATTGTTAAATATTTAGGGAAGAGTCAAGTATTTAAATGGTGGACGAATAGGTCAAGGACTTGTTGAACAATTTATTCATAAGAAAAATATTTAAGAAAAAACAATT